ACAGGATGGACCGTATGAGTAGTGACCTGCACTTTCTTTTTCTTTCTTTCTTTCTTTCTTTCTTTCTTTCTTCTCCCTTTCTTCCTTCCTTCCTTTTTTTTTTTTTTTTGCCTTTTTTTCTTAACATCAACCTCATTCTTTCTAATGCCAATGTAGTATTCCACTGCATGGTTGTATCCTACTTACTTAAAAGTAGTTACGCTTTTATACCAAATAAAAACCTCCCCACTTGCTTGAATTAACCTGATATAGTAGTAACAGACATCATCACTTCAGAGAACTCCTTGAAAGAGAGGGTATATTCCATTTAAATATCTTTGATTAAAAAACAAAACTGTTTTCATAATTTAAATGCTATAAACGTTTAAATCTCTGTTCCTTTTGCAGTTTACCTTAGTATGTAGTATGAGGAGTAGATGTAATTTTATCCTGTTTCTTATGGCCACCCTTTTGCCTAATGCCATTTATTTAAAGTCCATCTTTTCACATGTATTTGAGATACTACCTTCATTATGACTAAATTTACATATATTTACTTCTGGATTTATGTGTGTGTGTGTGTGCATGCATGTGTTCCCATGATTGATCTAGTCATATGACAGTATCATAGGTTTTAAAAACTTTTGTATTTTTGAAATAAATTTGGACTTAAAAAAGAGTTGGAAAAATAGAATAGTAGGTTTCTGTATACCCTTCACTCAGCTTCCCGGCTTCCCCTAATGTTAACATCTTACATATCAGGACTAAGAAATTAATTTATTGGTACAATGCAGTTAACTATTTTATTTTATTTATAAAGGCTTTGTACAGTATTTTAGTATGTGGTAGGTCTGTTCCTTCTCTTCTCTTTTCATACTTTGCCTTTTTTGCTTGTTTTTCCAAATGTCTACATGCTGCAGAAAACAAAATGAAAACAGATCTTACATAGCATATTTATTGGGACTGCATAAGATTTATAAATTAACTTGGGGGGAAATGATATCTTCATGATACTGAATCTTTATGTACATGAACAAGGTATGTTTATAGTTTTCCTCAGTGGTTTTGGACTCTTTTGTTCAGTTTATGCCTAAGTGTTTTTTACTTCTAAAAATTATAAATAGGACCTTTCCTAAAAGGAAACTTCCATTTCATCCTCTATCTGATTTCTCTTTGCACATAAAGGAAAGATTTCTGTATATTTTGGACTTTGCTAAATTACTCAACTATCTTATTATAGTAATATTTAGTTAATTCTTTGGGATATTCTAGGTATATAATTATGTCATCTGCCAGTAGTATTCCTTTTTTTTTTTTTAAGATTTTATTTATTTATTTGACAGAGAGAGAGACAGCGAAGAGAGGGAACACAAGCAGGGGCAGAGGGAGAGGGAGAAGCAGGCTTCCCACTGAGCAGGGAGCCCGATGCGGGGCTCGATCCCAGGAACCTGGGATCATGACCTGAGCCGAAGGCAGACACATAATGACTGAGTCACCCAGGCGCCCCAGTAGTATTTCTTTCTAACTTCATTCTTTAATTGTGCTGACTAGTATAATGAGTAATAGTGGTAAAAATGGGCTTCCTCTGACTTTAGGAATAGATCTACTGTTTCCACATTAAGTATGGTGCTGGCTTTCCGGCTGATATGGATCATATTAAAGAAGAGTCCTTTTAAATTCAGTATTCTCAACAAGAGTGGGCATTGAACATCTTTTCACCATCTTTGGCATAATCATATTTTTATCTGTGTAGATCTATTAGCCTGTTGAATGATATTGATTTTCTAATAGTGATTTTTATTGGAAATTTTGGATTTTCTATCTCTTTGGGATTAGTTTTAATAAATTACATTTTCTAGAAAATTAAGTTTTCAAATTTATTTGCATACAGTTGAACAAAGTAGTCTTAAGATTCTTTTGCTTTCTTCTCTTTCTGTTGGTATTTTTCTCTTATTGCCATCTCAAAGTGCTAGCAAATATGTATTTTTTAATCCATCAAAACAAAACAGTAAAAATAGTTCCACTAATTAAAAAAAAGTGATCCCAAACTTCTTACATTATTAATAATAATGATAACTCCAAATTTAATTCTAATTGAATATTCTCTTGCCAGCCTGAAACTTTTTTTCCTACTTGCATTAATTTCTTAGGATACTTGTAAATTTGTTTTTCAGTGAACATTTGAATAAAAGTCTAAATAAGAGTCCCTTTGCTTTCTTCTCCCCTACCCTACTCTTACAGGGTGAGGGTCTCTTTAATGGGCATCTTGACACTACAGAAAAACAAATTGGGATGTTTGCATACTCTGATGAAAGTGAAAGATTAAGAGATTTTCCCCATTTCATGAGATAAATTTTGATTTTTTTGAATGTTGACTGACTTGCAGTTAAGATACATTTCATATGAAATTCTAATGATTGCATAAAATGCATTCTAACGTAAATTTATGATTTCTCAAATTTTGCATAAAGCAGTTTTGAGTTAGGGAAGGGTGGACAACATCTTAAAAGGGTGCAACATCTTAAAAGGATATAGGAAATATATTACTCCATGAAACATCTTCTTTTTCCCATCAAATTATATGAAATACCCTGCTTTCTAGAGTAGAAATGACTTTAATGCTTGTGATTCTGGAGTGGGGCGGGGGGGGGGAGAAAAAATGTTCAAATTTTTTTTTTTTTTAAAGATTTTATTTATTTATTCATGAGAGACAGAGAGAGAGAGAGGCAGAGGGAGAAGCAGGCTCCCAAGGAGCAGGGAGCCCGATGCGGGACTCGATCCCAGGACCCTGGGACCATGACCTGAGCCGAAGGCAGACGCTTAACTATCTGAGCCACCCCAGGCGCCCATGTTCAAATGTTTTAATTGTCCATTTGAAGGGTTGGATTTTTCCCCCTCAATAAAGAGCACTTCGTCTATGCTCATTTTGCCCTTCTGGCTCTTTCTGTGATTGTGTAAGGTTATAACCTGCATATCTTTTTTTTTTTTAAGATTTTATTTGTCAGAGAGAGAGAAAACATGTACAACAAGGGGAGCAGCAGGCAGAGGGAGAAGCAGACTCCCCGCTGAGCAGATAGCCCGATGCAGGACTCAATCCCAGGATTCTGGGATCATGACCCGAGCTGAAGGCAGCTGCTTAACCAACTCAGCCACCCAGGCGTCCCTATAACCTGCATATCTTAACATACCTGTGTATACCTGTCTCTTTCTCTGTGTTACTACCTTTTATATTATTATTTTATTGCAAAATTGCCTGTTAAAATTTTATTTGAAGTAAAGAATTTCAGGGCTTGCATTATTATTAAGTTCTGTCAGATCCCCACTTCTGTTACATAGTTTTTAATGTGCTGGATATTTTCAGACCTGCTTGTTAATGGGATGACGTAAAGCAGATAAATGATCATACCTATGAATTTCTCCTTCATTTTTGAAATGTCTCTATCCTTTTCAAGTAGCAGAATTACTTCTTTACCTCTTGTCCCTTGGTCAGGGGGCAGAAACTTTTAATAATAGATCAAAATTAGGTCTTACTAAGGAAGATATGTTACATGTGTACTTTTATAACATAATTTATATTTACATAGCACTTTTCAGCCTGCCTTCTTCCTTACTTCTAATAGTATCCCTGTAAATTATATTTGTTCAGGTAGTAGATAACCATTTTACAAACGGTGAAATGAATTAAAATGAAGGGGCAAAGTAAACCATGACCAACCCTAAAATTAAGACTTGTGTCTCCAAACACAAATCTAGTTCTCATTGTTTTCAATCATAAAGACTTTTGTGAGTGATTGCCCACCTCCCAGGACTCACTTCCTCCTCAAATGACGGTGGGTTGCATCAGATTTATCATTAACTCATTGGAGAAGTAGCTAGACCTGAGTCCTTCCATTTCCCTTGTTAAAGGCCTTCATTTGCTAAGCTCCAATACTGTCATGACTAGCCAGTGTTAAACCTGTCTGCCTTATTTTGTGTAGTGGATTTTATTACAGAAGCACTTTCTTACGTCAAGATCTTTAAGTATTGTTTATAAAAAAAAAAAAAACACTTTTGTAATGCTTTTTAGCTCTAAAAGAATTAAGACAGAATTTTATTTATTCCAAATTGAGTTTGGGATTAAACTAAAAAGAGAATCTGGGTCTTCTGAACTTGGTTAGTCTTAATCTAACTCCTAGCATTCTCTGATTCATGCTAAGGACCTCTTACTACCTGACCATCTTCTCTTTCTTTTCTCCCTCTTCTTTCACACTGATAAAATTAATTGCCAGACTCTGCCTCACTTCTCTTTGATAATTTCTGCTTCTAAACTGATCCATTTTCTTTAAGTGTCTTTTGGCCTCAGTTCTGAGCACAGTGGGTCCCAAGACCACATAACGCTATAGCATGGCCTATTATATTCATCTTTTTAAATAAATGTAGTAGAACTTTATTTTAGTAATTCTTACTTATCATCTTCCTATTAAAAAGATTGAAGTCTCAAACTAATTCTCCTTTGTATCCATTTTGTTAAATGGCTACCTTTTTAATGAAGCCTTCTTGAAAGTTCAGAACTACTTCACCATGGATGATATCTAAGACTAGCCTTCTGTCAAAGTGATAGAATGTAATACCCAATCTCATTAATTCATTCTGGCTTTAAAATAATGTAACTTGAATAAAATCCATAAGTAATATTACCAATATGAACTTATTATCAATGATTACATTTCATTATATAAGTTTTACCTGTAAGACCAGTTAAAGTAAATCTTTAAAAACTTGAAAAAAATTCTAGCCTGACAGAAATCTCATCTACTTGTGAAAAGGAAAATGTAGTCAAGCACTACTGAGGTTCTCTTCTATTTTAGTTCCCCTTGTCTTCAGCTAAGACTCTAGTGTTTCATCCTCTTAGAACGATAATGCTGCTTAAACAATATTGTTATTAAATGTCTCCAGAGTTTTGTTTCTTTATCCCTTTCTTTGTAAACAAGCAGCCACGATATTTTTAGTAGTGAATTTCAAAATCCTTTTTAACCTTATAGGTCCAAGGGTAGCCAAGGATGGCTGCAGCTTCATATGATCAGTTGTTAAAGCAAGTTGAGGCACTGAAGATGGAGAACTCAAATCTTCGACAAGAGCTAGAAGATAATTCCAATCATCTTACAAAACTGGAAACTGAGGCATCTAATATGAAGGTATCAAGACTGTGACTTTTAATTGTAGTTTATCCATTTTTATCCAGTGTTCCCTTCTGTAAAGTTGGGGTTAGATACTTTGCTTACTTAAAAGTGTATTTTACGTTAAGCAGCAATATGTAAACTCTTTCTTGCAAAGTTAGCATGTATATTTTGAACAAAATGTATTAAATTAATCCAGTGAATCATAGAAAGAAAAAAATTGTAAAAACCCAATGGCTAGTTAATTTGTTCTTAGTTATTTTTAAGCTTAAAAATAAGAGACCAACTTTAGTATCACTATACTGAGGCGGGGTGTTCTGCATAATTCATAGAAACTAGTTTCACTACTTTAGAATATATCTCAGTTATTAAATATAGTCTTCCTCGCCAGCTCTCCCAGATCTTGTCTCCACTTAAGTGCCGCAATGATAAATGATCAAGAAAAACAGAATGCCCAATGGGAACAGTCCAGAACTGAAAGTCAGTACCTGGTCCTATTCCTTGTTTTGCCAGAAGCCGAGCTGTATCACCTCTAGGTACCCTTCTGGACTTAAGGTGCCTTATTTGGAAAATACAAGTATCACACTAGCCTAGATGATTTCCATGGCTCCTTCAAGTCCTGAAATTGGTTTGCCGAATACCATTGAAAAGCTGTGATAACCTCCAAGGAAAGTTATAAAATATTCAGTCTACAGTGGGGTAGATATGTTCTAATTTCAGAATAATTGAGGTTAAAATTTTAGCCATTTTAATTTCCAGTACTTAGGTAGATTCCCTTCTCACTGAACTTAATAACTTTGTAGATTTGGAGATTCATCAACAAAACTGTTACCCTCTTTCTCTTTTAAAAATTCTTCCTGCTTTGTGTTATTTCTGCCCCTTGGCTGTTTAGCATCTGGGTGCCTGATGCTATTCTTCCTGTCTGTTCACTACTCTCTTATTCCTTATTCATTGCCTATTTTTTTCTCGTTCTTTTTCTGTGCATTTTGAGGTCTCCCTTATTCTTCAAGCTTCTGTACATCACTGAACTATTTTTGCTCCCCTTTTACTCTTTATTGTCAATATCATAACAGTTCAACCTTTTACTCATATATACTATTCTTTCTACCCATAAATCTTTTCTACTCTAATTACCTATTTCTGTGGTTAAAAACTGTCCTCAGTGAGGACAAATCTCCAAGATACCTACCTCCAGTCCTTTCAGAAATAAGGTAGACTTTAAGAAAACATGTTTTCTCACCACAAACTGTGGGTGACCTTAAAAACAGCCAAATCAGTTATCTAATATTAAAAAAGAATAGTTTGCTATTTTAACACCGATCAACACAATATATCTAAAATTATTGTACATGGCATGTGGTTTTAAAAGTTTAAAGATAAAAATAGTAAAATTCCCAACAGGACTACTCTTTCATCTACTTTGGGAGGTATATTTTGCAAAGAATTCCTCTTGGCAGGCCTATCTGGATGTTTTATAGTGCACAGTTTTGAGATCCGTTTTAAGTTTTTGCTTAACTACTTGAACAAATTCAAAATTTATTTTTGGGAGATATTTTAACCTGCCCTTAGGCCCATCTCCATGCTGAATAGAAATGTCTTGGAGTAAAAATACAAGTTAGACCCTTACATTTCTACAATGGAATATCAGGTTGACCACTTATCCATGTGGTGTATCATATTGTACATCATGAATATTGACACTTATGTTTGAATTCAACCATGAATCGATAATTACTCAGCAAGTGCTTCTGCAGACATCCTTGCAAAGCCATCCACTTATTTCTTTAGGATTGGGCATATGGTATCATAGCAGTTACAGCTTTATAATGAAATTACTTATGTATCTCTCCTTAAGAGGATTTAAGCTGTTCAAGAGCAGGAACCATGACCATTTGTTTTGTCTTAGAATATTGATTTGTGAAAAGACACTTGGAAACACTGGCACTTCCCACATTGGATTAGTTAATCCAAAACAATGGTTATTTACCCAGAATCACATATTATTCTTTGGAATACATTATGTAATCTTGAATCCTGTTTCCTGCTCATTAACTTGTTTGCCCCAAAGAAAGGCAAGGTGGGTCCCCTTCAACTAGGTAATGTAAGGATTTCTGAAATTTATGCAGTAGTACCATCTAGTGGCAAAAAAGAATACTGTTTTGCTGTTGATTACAAGGCATTGATACAAATAAACTATAAAAATACTTTGTGTGTGTGTGACAGGGAAATATGTGTGCAACTAATTAGGGAAATGTGAACCCTGTGTATTTGAAAACATTAAGAAAGTGTTTATTTTTTGGGTATAATGATGGCATTGTGGTTGTGGTTAGGAAGAATCCCTGTTTAAATATATATCTGAATTATTTATAGAAGAAGTAATATGATGTCTGAAATTTATTTTCCAAATGAATTTGAGTCAGGGAAGGGAATAGAGGAAGTGGGTATGGATATAGATGAAAGAAGATCATGAGTTGATCATTATTGAGGTGGGATGTGAGGATACATGGGAGATTGCTATAATATTCTCTATACTTAGGTTTATGTTTGACATTATCTGCAGTAAAAATATAGTAAAATTAAATAGAGATTTCATGGGATTTAGATGACCTGGAATTAGATAAATGCAGGAATTGTAGCTTAAATTTAAAAGAAACTACATACTGTACTTTTTAATTTGGGGGCTAGAACTCAACTTGATTTACTTTAAAATGCTGAGCATAGCAACAAAAACATGGTCATGTAGAGATGTTAAGCATTTAAACTGAGAGATGTCCTGGTATTAAATAAAAATTATCTGTAGGTAAATTAGTAATGAACTATTTATGTCTTTGTTGTGTTTTGACAGAATGAAATTTTATAAATTGTTTTATAACTGCGAAATCATATACATGTAGAATATCTTATTTTCAGAGTGTAAGAAGAAATTAGAAATAAAAGTTCAGATTGACACATTTCATAATTTATTTTGAAGATTTAATTATCAAATATACTAGTATTTGGTAATGAAAGGAATCTATAACTGATATAATGACAAAAACAGAAGTGGATCAAGTAGCAGCCTCCCTGAAATGACACAGTTGCTCATTGATAAATATTTTCTTTTCACTGATATCACCACAGAACATTTCATCTCTAATAAATAATCCTTTAATGTTTCTAAACTCTTAAAATATTTTAAGAAATAATGTGTGGTTATATAATGTAAATAACTAATTTTTTAAATCCAAACTTGCAGGATTTATAAATACAAATGAATATTCTCTCCTTCAAAATTACATATTAATTTTAAAAGCTGCCATTTCTCAAAGCATTTTTTTGAAGATTTTATTTATTTATTTGACAGAGAGAGACACAGCAAGAGAGGGAACACAAGCAGGGGGAATGGGAGAGGGAGAAACAGGCTTCCTGCTGAACAGGGAGCCCAATGAGGGGCTCGATCCCAGGACTCTGGGATCATGACCTGAGCCGAAGGCAGATGCTTAACGACTGAGCCACCCAGGCACCCCTCTCAAAGCATTTTTTAAAATATTTTATTTGGAATTACTTGGCAGTTGTGTTGCATTTTTAAAAAAAACTCTTTGAAATTGAGGACTACTTCTTTTAGGTTGAATGCAGTACTCAGCTCCAGGGAATCATTCCTACTGCAACAACTAAAAAACACTGGATAAAATACAAAAATCATACTTTAAAAGACATTGGAGAACAGAACTGTGGAGTCATCAAGGACTGTATTAACTAAACTTGATAAGAGCTTGAAAGAGCCCTTTCTAGAATAACTGACATTGCTGGTGATTTTCTTCCCCAGGGATATTTGTTAATTCTGAGCACAGGCTGCTGTTCATTGCTGGCACAAGCAGGACTCCACTGGAGGAAGGAAACTGTTGTAGGTCTTGACAAACATGTGACCAGATGTGAAGTATTGACATTTTTAGAGGAACCCCAAATGCATGGCTAGTTTTCCCCATGGAACATTGGTTGAGTCTTGTGAAGGATGCTAGGGACAGACTGGGAAAGCTAAATGTTACAAGACAAAGTCTTGCTATGGGAAAGGCACATTACTTTCACACAAGAGGGCTCCTTCTGAAGACATTTACCATATTTTTAACTTTGTGGAGTAGGAAATTAAAGACCCAAGCTCACTACCTTCAAAAGATAGAACTTTTAGGGCTAAGGAGTCAGGCACCACCTGAGAATAAGGCAAAGTGAAATATTCTATAATCTTTTTTTTTTTCTTTAAAGATTTTATTTATTTATTTGAGACAGAGAGAATGAGAGAGAGAGCACATGAGAGGGGGGAGGGTCAGAGGCAGAAGCAGGCTCCCTGCCGAGCAGGGAGCCCGATGCGGGACTCGATCCCGGGACTCCAGGATCATGACCTGAGCCGAAGGCAGTCGCCTAACCAACTGAGCCACCCAGGCGCCCGAAATATTCTATAATCTTGCAGTGCTTGAGAGACACAGACTCACCAGACGGAAGGGGCCTGTATTAAACATAGCTGGTTTTCCTTTCAAGATAAATACCAGATTTGAGGTCTGTAGAGGGTAGTACGCTAAGGGCTGAGGAGACAGAAACCTGTATTATTTTCAGTCTAATTTTAGAGACACATTCACAGAACTTGGCAAGTCAAATCAGATGTGAATTTTGCTTGAACTGCACCTGCAGCCCATTTTTAGTTCCTGACTGGATGGAGGAGGTAAGACCCCAATGGTGGAAAGGGCAAACTCTAAAGGAAAATATATCTTAAGTCTCTCTTTTTCTGTATACATAATGATTGGCATACAGCTGAAAGTTCCAAGAAATAGGAAAATGAGTGATCATTAAGAGAACAAATAGTTAATAGAAGCAAATCCAAAGGTGATCTAGATATTGGAATTAGCAAAGATTTTAACATAATTATTATAAATGTCTTAAAAAATATGAATAAAATGGATGACAATTCAGAAAATTTAGACAAAGAATTGTTATCTATAATAGTCTAAAACCAAAAAATAGTTTTACTAATAACTTATTAGATGGGCTTGTAAACACAGAATTAATAAACTAGTGAGAAGATAAATCTATAGAAAATATCCATACTGAAGCACAGAAAGATAAAAAACGGGAATAAAAACAGTATGGGGGCGCCTGAGTGGCTTAGTTAAGGGTCTGACTCTTGATTTTGGCTCAGGTCAGGGTCTCAGGGTCATGAGATTGAGCCTTGCACTCAGTGGGAAGTTGGCTTGAGATTCCCCTTCCCTCTGCCCCTCCCCCCTGCTTGTGAGTGTGTGCGCACACGCACTCTCTCTCTCTCTGTCTCTAAAATAAATATTTTTTTTAAAAAACGGTACGTAAGAGTTATGAGGGACACAGGCAAATAGATACAGGCAAATCTGAAGTGTCAGAAGGGGCAGGGATAGAAAATGGAGCAAAAGTAATATTTAAAGAGAAAGTGGCTGAGAATTAGTGTAAAGTTGCAAAGTTATTAAGACAGTGTGATAATAGGTTAGACTAGTTGACTAGCAGAAATAGAGTGGAGAAAAGTAGCTACATATATGGGGTTACTTGATTTATGACCAAGGCATCCCTGCATTTCAGTGGGGAAAAGGGGATCTTTTCAATAAGTGGTACAGGAGCAATTCAATATTTGCATAAAGAAAAAGAAAAAAAAGGATCTCAGAGCCCTACCTCATAATATATGCAAAAATTAATTCAAGATTCATTATAGACCTAAGTGTGAAAGACAAAATAGTGGCTTCCAGAAGGAAACATGGAGAACAGCTTCATGTTTTTAGGTAGGCAAAGATTTCTTAAACAGAATGACAAAGCACTAAACATAAAAGAAAAAACTGATACATTAAAACCAAGATCTTTTGTAGTGCTTTTAAAAGCAGATACAAGATAATATCTTTGTGACCTTGGGATAGGCAAGATTTCTTAGGACACATAAAGGACTAAACATAAAAGAAAAAAGATGTAAAATGGACTTCACCAAATTAAAAACTAAATTTAAAATAAAATCTTTTCAAAAGACTTCATTAAGAAAATGAAAAGCCAAGCCATGGACTGGAAGAAAATATTTACAATACATTTATCTAACAGAACTCAGTACAGAATATAAAAAGAATTTTTGCAAACCAATAACCGAAGAAAGTCCAATTTTTAAAATATGGCCAAAGTTTGTAAAGACAATTCAAAAAGGGAGATAAATGGCCAGTAAGCACATAAAAGGGATTCTATATCCTTCATCATCAGGGAAATACAAATGTTATTTCTCTTCACTCAAATCGCTAAAATTTAAAAGACTGATCATGCCAACTGTGGAACATCAGGATGCTCATACATTGCTGGTAGGAGTATAAAATAGTACAGCCACATTGGAAAACAATTAGGCAGTTTCTTTTAGAGTTAAATCCTATGACTTAGCATTCAGACTCCGAGATATGTACTCGAGAAGTGAGTACATATGTTCACTAAAAGATATGTGCAAGAATGTGCATAGTAGCGTTCTTCATAATGGCCTATAACATGTAACAACCAAAATGCCCATCAAGAGGATAAGGATAAATCAATTAGGATATATTCATATGGTGGACTACTACACAGCATTAAAAAACAATTAACTGATACATACAACAGCATGGGTGAATCTCATATTTGGTGAGCAAAAAACATGAGACACGAAAGACTATGTTGTATGATTCCATTTATATGAAGTTCACAAACATTCCAAATTAACTGAAAGTCTTTAAAAATTTTTTTAAACCTTAAATTTCAATAATTTTATTTACCTTTATGGTTACAACTTTTATCAATAGATTTCTAACAATATGTATAGAAACTTTTTTTAAAAACTCTTAATACAAATTGTGCATATTTAATATTTTTTAAAATTAGGAAGTAGGGACAAAAAGATACCATATCACCCATTAAAAATTCTTTTTGTATTCTTTTTTAAATCAGAGGTAACCTTTGACAGTATATATTTCTCTCTCTGCACATTCTGTGCAGGCATGCATTTGATGGGATTATATTTTGCAGCATGCTGTTTAAAACTTTAATATATCGTCATAATCTTTTCATATCATTAAATATTTTGTGATATTATAGTTGCATAGTATTCCATTGTATGGCTAATGCTGTAAGTTTATTTGATTTTTATTGTTGGATGTCCAAGGTTACATGGCCTTTTAATTTGGTTTTGATGCTATTTTAATTTTTTGTTTATTATTTTTAGTTTTGAATAAATAAGTATATGTCCTATGACATGCCAAGGATTTCTTTTGTTGTTTTGAACTTCTACATCTTTGTACCTTTTCTAAAAACAGTATTTTTTGTAATACCCATTCTTGAAAAATTACAAAACAAGCCCCAAAAAGCCAAAAAATTGCTTATAACCCCACCTTCTTAGAAGACCACTGGTAACATCTTGATGATTGTTTTCAGCATCAACATCACCTGGGAACTTGTTGAAAATGAAGGTTTTCAACCTCTATCCCAGACTTACTGAAATGAGCAGTCTGTGTTGTAACTAGTTCTTCAGGTGATTCTGATCCATACTGAAGTTTCAGACCACCATTGTAAACTTTGGAGAAGAATCTTGTATGGAGACCTGATCAGAGCTATGCTTTAAAAGGCTTACTCTAAAAAATAATAATAATAATAATAATAAATAAAATATAGACTTACTCTGAACAGAAAAGTCCTATGCAAGGTAGGACCATATTAAGAGATTATTTTAGTAGTTTGGAAGGGTTACTAATCAGGGTAATGACAGTAAGACTAGAAAAGAGATGATTCTAAGAGAAATACTAGAGGTTGAATACAGAATTTGAGAACTAATTGGTGACATGAAGAGGTGATGCTAAGGATTTGAGTGGGGAAGAAAAGGCTATTTACATTTAACTGACAAGATACAAGGCAAAGAACAAATTGTAGTGGCACAAAATGATAGTTCTGGACATTTACATAGGAAGTGCGTATCATCCAGATGTAAAGCATCTATCAGTCAAATTGGGAAAGTGAATCTGAAGTTTGCAAGTGAGGTTAGGATTAGAGACATATAATTTGAAGTTATCTGTGGAAGGGTAGTTGTTGAATTGCAAGGCTGGGGAGTATAAGAAATAGACATAAGATTAAAGGATCACTGAAGGACTACAAGTAGTAGCAGTGCATGGATGGAAGAATTGGGATCCTGAAAAACACAGATAGCCTAGAATGATAGTTCTCAAACTTGATGGAAGCAATGGTGTCCTGAAGTTTAGAGTAGATGTTGTAGAGTACTCTACATTCATTCAAAGATGGCATCCCTGTACAAGTTTGTTTCTTGTCCCACAGATGTGATACATTTCAGCCATAATAATCTGAACATGGTATCAGTCACCTCCATGTTCCTGTATCTACTTACCGAAGCCTTTCAACCTCCAACGTGGTCTATTATTTGAAAGTCAGATCTTAACACCACAGTCTATTTCTTGTTAACATAGGCATTCTTTTTTAATGCCAGTCATGTCACCGTCAAGGTAAACCAGTAAAGTTGTCTTTGCTGCGTTCATTCACTTTTTGAAAGATTTCCTTTTCCATCTGTTTATGGATCATTTTTCATTTTGGAGAATACTGCCCATAGGTACAAGGTCATAAACATTCAAGAACATTGTCTTGCATTTGGAAACCTAATTGGCCAAAAAAGACTTCGCTGGAAACTTGAATGGAATGCCCCGAAATAGGAAAGATATAACATAAATTATTATTAAGGAACATGCAGAAAAACTGGTGGAAAATGACAGTTTCCAACATTCTTTGAGGAAAATTTATCAAGAGAAGGATTTAAATGGGAAAGGAAATAATGGCATCAAAAGTCAGGAGGCAGTGAGCATACAGTTATTTCAATATCTGCTGAATGTAATTCGGTATGCTAGTAGTAATACTTAAATATGGTATATAAAAGCTTGAATATGTATTAGGGTGTTAAATAAAACAGCACATTATAATTGTTAATTTGGGTTTTTTTCATGGTCATATTGGTGCAAGCTTCAGAGACGTGGATTCTAAACACATAACTAGCTTTTACAGCTTGGATAGGGCTTTGAGTCTTGATGGACCCATATGAAAAATGAGAATTCACCTTGTTGTATGTTTTAAAAGTTAGGGATAATGTATCTTATGGAGGCTCCCCATAATCTCCATTATCACAAAATACCACTATTGTCAGGATATAATTTATTATTCATAATTAATAATAGATAATATGTGTAAAGTGCTTTATAGGTTAAGATATATTTTCACATTGATCTGAAACTTTTTTCCCCAGCACACCTAAATGTCAAGAAACTTAGAATCATATCTTCAAGAAGTTATTTAGAGTTTTGTTATGGTAATGTATCGTATTCTTTTTTGCAGGAAGTACTTAAACAACTACAAGGAAGCATTGAAGATGAAGCTATGGCTTCTTCTGGACAGATTGATTTATTAGAGCGTCTCAAAGGTAGATTTTTTTAAAAGTTTTAAAATAATTTTTTAAGCTCCACTTGTCAACTTTAGGTGTGTATATCCAAACACAGGTTCTCTTGATTTGAATGTTGCTTTCAGTTTTCTTGCTTTCAAACATTGCTTGACATATATTATCTGGTTTCTCACAGCTAATGTATTAATTCTTCTCTTACTGAAGTTAAAATTATGTCACTACAAATACTGTAATATATATCAGCCTTATCTATTAGGATTTAGTTGTTAAAATACAGATATATAAACTGTGTATTTACTTGTCATTCCTTCAGTTAAACATTTAACTGGCTTTAAATCAACTACTTTAGATTCCTTATTTGATCATTTTTAGCTCTTTTTAAAGCTCATTGCTGTTCTGCCAGTCACTATATAGACCTTGAGTAAGCTGTACACCACAGACTGGGCCTATTGCCTTAGTTGAAAGAATAGTGTCCTCTCTTCCATCCAGGATAGAATTGCTTTATCTTTTCAGATATATAAGCTGATTATATGCAATTTTTAGTAGAATTTTAAAAAATCTTTCTCATTTTGTTGCTTAAAAATTCACATATCAAAACAGGGAAAGTGCTTGATTATTATAATTGAAACTAGACTGAGAAATTACCTTTGGGTCCTAAAATATATTATTATTTAGCAGGAATCTAAGGAAAAATATTTTGTCTGATTTTCCTTTAACATACTCTTTTCCCCTCTTGACTCAAGCTACTTTGGAGGGAAAGTTTAGTCATTCTCTTCCTAAATAATTGTTTATTCAATCATGTGTATTTGTGGTTCCTCTCTTAAAAATTTAGAGTTGCAGTGAACACTTTTTTTTAATGATTTGATATTTGTATATATTGCAATTCTACCTGGAACCAGAAGTCAGTGACTATCTCACAGCATCAACATTTGTGATAAGGATTCTTTGTTCCCTGCATAAATCTGCTGCTCTATAGCTGCCATAGTTTAGTACTTCCACAGGCTTTATGTAATATATATAACGTATATTATATTATAAAATGGGTTCAAATTTGAGGACTGAAATATGAACCTAATATTTTATTTTTAAGACAATATAATTGCCTAGCAATATTTTAGACCACTTAAAGCAGCTGTTACATAAAAACTTGTCTCTCTTTCATTTAGAACTTAACTTAGATAGCAGTAATTTCCCTGGAGTGAAACTACGGTCAAAAATGTCCCTCCGTTCTTATGGAAGCCGTGAAGGATCTGTATCTAGTCGTTCAGGAGAGTGCAGTCCTGTTCCTATGGGTTCATTTCCAAGAAGAGGGTTTGTAAACGGAAGCAGAGAAAATACCGGTTATTTAGAAGAACTTGAGAAAGAGAGGTAAATTTTCTTCATTAAGTTGTAAACTTGTATACTCCAGTGTTTACTATTATTTTGTCATTTTGTAGTAAAAGATAGGAATTATGAAGCATGTATGGCAGATGATCAGTAACACTTAAGAGAGTATTTTACACTTATTCAAAGATAGTATGTTACTGATCATACTTATATTAAATCTAAAACTGTAAAGAGGCAATATTAAATATGAAAATGTAGGGACGCCTGGGTGGCTCAGTCGGTTAAGCGACTGCCTTCAGCTCAGGTCATGATCCCAGGGTCCTGGGATCGAGCCCGGCATTAGGCTCCTTGCTCGGCGGGGAGCCCACTTCTCCCTCTCCCTCTGCCTCTCCCCCTGCTCATGCTCTCTCTCTCTATCTCTATCTCTGTGACTCAAATGAATAAATAAAATCTTTAAAAAAAAAAAAATACTTCAGATGCCCTGTACATTGAGTAAGCACATGATCACAATAGTTAGGTCACATTAAAATATGTAACTGATTTTTAATTGAGTTATCTTTTGAAATAAATTAACTAGAGAACCAGTATGAGGTAACTGTTTCCATTAGGGAAAGCCTATTACAAGTGGCCACAAATGTAACATTTCTTAATTTATCAGTTCCAGTGTCTTAAAAAAACAGTGTTTGATAATATATATTATCTGGTTTCTCACAGCTAATGTATTAATTCTTCTCTTACTGAAGTTAAAATTATCTCACTATAAATACCAGAATACGTATCATTATCAAGAACTTTGTCAAATGTTGTGTAAAAGATTATGAATTCCTTAATGCATGAATAACATTATTTTTATACTCCTAAAAATTCTATTAAACATTCAGGAATGTTAAAATGTATAAACATTACATATTAGCTCTGGGACCTTGGTCATGTCCTTAAATTTTGTGTCATTTTCTCCTGTAAAATAGGGATATGGTTCTACCTTGCACAGTTTTGAAAAGTGGTTATTAGTGTAATAATGTCCAGCATATCTAAGTAAAAGGCAAAAGATCTTTTACTACTTTCTCTCTGGTTTTCGGTGCGTCTGTAAAAATAGGGTAATCTTCTGGACCAGAAGTAGTGTTAAGCTTTCTTTCATCTTGAGTTTACATGAGTCTCTGTGTCATACCTTGAACCAGGACTATTTCTGTCTGATGGTATAGGAAACACTATCGTGAATAGTAAGAAGTTAACTGGTGTCCACAGTCTTCCATCTGTTGTCCTCTTTGAGCTCTGTGAAGAGACAAAGGGCATGTGAGCATACCCCCTTTCCTAGGAACTTGCTTTGCTTCATGTAGATAAAGTCCCAAGTTTATTAGCAGAGAGAGAAGAGAGTATGTGTGTGTGTAGTTCTGATATATCTTGGGCCCTCTTGGTTCTCACTGTTTTGGAGGGAGGTAAATTGAGTCCTTGCATATATGACAGAATCATTATTTTGCTGTCGTGCTCGATTGATAGTTTAGATAGGTCTAGGCTCAAACTCATTTTCTTTCTTCATTATCAATGTCTTTGATGAGAAATTTAATACAAACCTGATTCTCATTCCTTTGAAGGTCATCATTTTTCTTCTTTAGAAGTCTTTAGAATGTCTCAGTATATGAGTTTTCTTCATTCATCATGCTGGGTACTCACTGTGCCCTTTTAATCTGGAAATTTACTTTCTTCAGCTTTTGGAAAATTCTGTTCTGTTATTTCTTTGATGGTTTTCTCCCCTGTTTTTCTATTCTTTCTTTCCCTCTCTTAAGTCATAGATATACTCTCTGTCTCTTTTTTTCTTGTTTTCTATATTACCCAAGATAAGTGCTAGAAAGTAGTCAGGGCAGGGTTCAAACCCAGCTACACAGCTCCATAACCTTTTTGAACCTCAGTTTTCAGTCTGAAGAGTGAGCCTAAGAATAACTACCTCAAAGGATGTAGTGAAGATTAAATTAGATTAAAAAAAAATACTTAGCACTATGTCTAGTACTTAGAACATTCAATAAATGTAAGCTATTATCATGTTAGGTATTCGCTCATTTAACAAATATTTATTAAATGCCTAGTACATTTATGCCATGCTCTTTTAGGTGACCCTAAGTTAGCTAGAGGACTAATATAACACAAAACTTATATTTTAAAGAAGACTGTTAACAATCACTAAAAAAAGTCTAAACCATAAAGACCTACCTGCCTTGAGGTCTAGACCTGTTTTCAGTTCTGAGCCTTAAGCACTGTGATCAACCACTATCATTTAACCACTTGTTAACAACATTTTGGCTCAAAACACTGTAACCTTGGCTTCCCCAGAGCGTTTTTCCATCGTTCCACCTTAAACTTGACAATAACAGGTTGTCCCTATTCTCCATAGCCTCCCTATCACTCCACCACCACCACTAGCTGGCCTATCAGTTTAAGCACTTATGACACCCAGCTCTTATTTAATGAGCCTATTTATTGGAGAATAATCAGAGGAAATAGTAGCATCACCATTTGTTCCCCAGCTAAGTCCTGGTAGGTCCTGCAGTTCTCACCAGGGAGCACTGAAAAATAGAATCAGAGGGCATCTTTATGCCAGCTTGTGAGAGGGCTTTAGGCTTTCTACGGTGTTTTCTCCTGCTTCTGTTGTCAGAAATGGGAGGGAGGAGGCAGCTTCTCATTGGTCTGCACTGCCCCAAAGGTTGCTACATCATAAGCAGGGGCTTACTGTCTTCCCATGGATTCCCTCACTGCTCCAGTTGCCACATCAAAAATGAAGGCTTATTTCTTTTTTTTTTTTTTTATTGTTTCTCAGTAAAGGAAAGGGAATTTTAGCAAGAGTATAACCTTCCACATACTCATATGCATGCATATTTTGCAAAACAATATAATCAAACAGAATTTTAAAGTAACGGTGTTAGAGTGGGGATCATCTCTGTAAATGAGCAAACTCCAGAAGTGATAATAGAAAATATCCACAAATTTGACTACAAAAAAATCAAAATTTTCTACATGACAAAAACATTATGAACAAAATTAAAAGACAAGTGATAAACAGAGAAAATGTATTTAAAGCCCATATAACCAACAAAGTACAATCATTCATAATATCGATGAGGTCCTATAAATAAGAAAAAATTATAGGCAAGGAAACACAAATGGTTTTTAAACTTGAAAAAAATGCTTAACCTTACCCTAAAAGAAACCAAACCATAATATATATAATAATATATATATAATATACTGTTTAAAAAAACCAAATATGCAAAAATAAAGTTTGATGAAACATTTATATTGGTGAAAGTGGTAGGGGCATAAATTGGTACAATATCTAATAAGAGCAGTAAGTTAAAAATGTACATACCCTAGGAATTTATCTTATATACATGCTTGCACATTTGTGAAATGGGGTTATGTATAAGCATATTCAGTGCAGCATTGTTGATAATAGCAAAGGATTAGAAAGGCCCTATATGCCCTCTAAAACGAAACTAGTTATAGTGTATCCCATTATGGATTCATGCATACTATACAGCTAGCAAAAAATATGTGGGACCTTTTTATGTTATGACACAGAATTATCTCCCAAGATAGATTTTTTTAAGTGAAAAAAAAGTTTATAGGACAATACATAGAATACTATGCTACTGTTCATGTTTAAAAATGTACATGTAAGTGTACACATAGATCTTTGCATTTTTAATAGAATCTCTCTGGAAATATACACAAAAAAATGATACTAGGTGTCACTGGGAAAGAGACATGTGATAGGAAATCATAGACTTTTTGTACCTACTGAGTTTTATCCCATGAACACCCTTATTTTGCATTTATGTTTAAAATGATCAGATATAGAGTAACTTGACATAAAATATTATTGAGGACATTGATTGGATTGTTCAGGAGTTACATAGCAAATTCATCTTCAAATTCCAAACTAAGAAAAAGTTTCTCTCTCTCAGAATAACTTCTCATTACCACACAGTGACAATTTTTTTTTAAAGTTTCTGCAACTAGGGGTGCCTGGGTGGCTCAGTCATTAAGCATCTGCCTTCGGCTCAGGTCATGATCCCAGGGTCCTGGGATTGAGCCCCGCATCAGGCTTCCTGCTCGGCGAGAAGCCTGCTTCTCCCTCTCCTGCTCCCTCTGCTTGTGTTCCCTCTCTCGCTGTGTCTCTCTCTGTCAAATAAATTATTAAAAAAAAAAACGTTTCTGCAACTAATCTTTTTCTTTTTAATTCTAATAAAGTTAACACATAGTGTTATGTTAGTTTCAGGTATACAATATATAGTGATTTGCCAATTCTATACATTAGTGAATGCTCATCATGATAGGTGTACTCTTAATCCCCTTCATCTATTCCAACCATTGCCCTACTGGCCTCCCCTCTGGTAACCATCAGTTCATTCTGTACAGTCTGTTTTTTTGGTTTGTCTCTTTGTTTGTTGTGTTCCTTAAATTCCATGTGAGTGAAATCATACGGTATTTGTCTTTTTCTGACTTACTTCACTTAGCATTATACTCTCTAGATCCAGCCATGTTGTTGCAAATGGCAAGATTTCATTCTTTTTTATGGCTGAGTAATATTCCATAGTATGCGTGTGTGTGTGTGTGTGTGTGTGTGTGTGTGTGTGTGTGTGTATGCCTTTATATATATATAAAGAATATGTGGGGGCGCCTGGGTGGCTCAGTTGGTTGGGCGACTGCCTTCGGCTCAGGTCATGATCCTGGAGTCCCTGGATCGAGTCCCGCATCGGGCTCCCTGCTCAGCAGGGAGTCTGCTTCTCCCTCTGACCTTCCCCCCTCTCATGCTCTCTCTCTATCTTAAATAAATAAAATCTTTAAAAAAAAAAAAAAAGAATATGTGGGTATACATACATATATATCCATTCTTCTTTATCCAGTCATCTGTTGATGGACCTTGAGTTGCTTCCATGATTTGGCTATTGCAAATAATGCTGCAATAAACATAGGGGTGCATATATCTTTTTGAATTAGTGTTTTCATATTTTTAATTTTTTGAGGAACCTCCATACTGTTTTCCATAGTGGCTGCACGAGTTTGCATTCCCACCAACAGTGCACGAAGGTTCCTTTTTCTCCCCACATCTGCACCAACACTTGTTTCTTGTGTTTTTGACTTTAGCCATTCTGTCAGATGTGAGGTGATATCGTATTGTAGTTTTGATTTGCATTTCCCTGATGATGAGTGATGTTGAGCATCTTTTCATGTGTCACTTGGCCATCTGGATGTCTTCTTTGGAGAAATGCACAGTGACAAAGTATATCTTATTATTTTGGCTGCTGAGAATTTGAAAGCCACATCTGTGTCCAGTGCAGTGGCTTCCTAAACTCTCGGTTTGTTTTTTGTGTAACTACTGCTTTTTTTTACTCCTCTATTATACTTTTTATTTTTATATTAATTTTGGGTTTTGTTATATCTGTACTTTTTTCTGTAAACCATCATCATATTCTCAGACTGCAAATAAAGTGAAGAAAGCCTTTGGTTGAAATGTAAATAGTCTAGTAAGGATGTTGAGTATCTTATTTAGGTGAAAAAGTAAAAACTTTTTAATACTTAAATTTTAATGATTATAATATTCTAAGTCCCGCCTTCAAAAATCCAAAATAAATAAATGTTCCACGTATTCATTATTAATACTATAGTTTAAATAGAGAACATGACAATTACAACTGATAAGAATTACTGGTATGTACTCTATTAGCATTGTGTAAACTTACCTTTTTTTAATAAACAGATCATTACTTCTTGCTGATCTTGACAAAGAAGAAAAGGAAAAAGACTGGTATTATGCTCAACTTCAGAATCTCACTAAAAGAATAGATAGTCTCCCTTTAACCGAAAATGTAAGTAACTTAGCATTATGACCTACTTTAGGCTTCAATAACTTTGATCTTTTAAAAGTATCTGTGTTACTCATTTAAAAATTTCAGGATAATTGCATTTTTACTTATTTGTAAACTGTAATATATTTTATCTTTATCTTAACTTTAAACTCAAATATATAATAATGAATTTTTGTTTGTAAATAATGTAAAGGTGATAAAACTTCATTATGCTCAAGCAAATACTTACTTTAAGCCCCCAATTAAGAAAATCTATTAAGTTTGAATTCTTAAGGACTCAGGATTCAACTAGGCAACTGGTTTTTTATTCTGTCTATTAAATTACCAAACATACTCTGTAGAAATGTTTATTACCATCTATCTTTTGAACCAAATTACATACTATATAGTTTTTGCAATAAAAGCATCTTTGAAGATAATTTGAGTGCTATTCCAGTTCTTATAAGTGACAAAATCTTTTGGCAAGGATCTTGGGACTTTTTACAAGTACTAAAATGTGTTTGTTTTGCAAATATAACTATGTGAAAAAGAATTTAATCTTGTCAGCCTTTCCTTCCCCACCCAAACTCTCATGTCAACTATTTTACTCATGGGTGACACATGTAAGAACATTTCTGAATGTTCTGGAATACATTAATAATTTTAAGCAAGACTGTATTTTAACTGACTATTGTCCATAAATATTTCTTATAATTTTTAAAAAGAGAAAAAATAGGGTAATTAAAATATATTGTCCTCTGTTAGCCTAGATTTTTCATTTTCTAACAGCACTTTTGAGAGGACATAATAAATGAAAAACAAAAGTAGAAAGAAGGAACACTTTCAAAACATGTACTTAACCAGATTTCCTGAGTGATCATGGTCTGGCAGAGCTAGAACCAGAAACTTAGGTGCATAGTCTCCTAGAACAATCAGACAAGGTTTTGAGAAAAAGAGAAAGGATCCCTTTTCCTGACAATGTCCTTGACATCTTCCTGGCTGTTAAAGAGACCCAGATAGTGAAAGAACAGTTAATGAAGAGTTCTTGGATTAGGAACATAACAAGGAATAGGAATTCAGGAAGGTTTGGTGGGATTTTTACTCTTAAATAAAAAGTACCTAAGCATAGTTTTGCTTACCATTCACATTGATAATTAGAATGTACAAAATTTAGAGTCCTATTGTCTGCATGCAGTCAGGTTTAGGAAAGAGCTCAGATGTATGTGATAACTTGAGAGCAGTTGGTTAATATCTGAAACAAAGATGAGTTGTCAAACTGTTCCCATATTTATTAAATAATCGTATTTATTTAATAGTGTATATAAGACATTATAGACTATTTGGCAACATAACCAGGTGTAAACTGCTTGTGTGTCATAAGTATTGCAAAGCAAATTAAGAGCACTTCCATATGGAAATATTATCAGGATATTAAACATTACTTTTAAAACATCAGATCTAAACCACATTATTACAACATACTTTGTCATGTTCAACTTTTTTTTTGCAGGGGGTTTTGGAAAGTGAAGGATAAGTAAGTGGAGTTAAAGCTGTCTCATTGGGAATTAGAAATAACATACAGACTATTTCATCTGTTTGCAACCCATAATTTGGGTATGCCTGTAGGTATACATTATCTGTAGAATGTCATCTGCGTTATTGCAAGGGAAAAGGATGAGAGTTCCCCTGACTTAACTGACTGCAATTTGGAATCCTTGGGCCGACAGAATGTTACTCTGAGTCAGGCACATGTCTCACACAGCTGAGTATATAGAACATAAAAAATCTATTGCACTTTCTCATTTCCTTCATGGCCCATTATCATTTAATCAGACTTTTAGCTATTATTACCTCTTGGTGCATGTGTTTATAAGTTTCATTACCTTGTCCTTTTCATCCTTTTGTATGCCTAGCAGTTATCTCAGTGCCTGGAATTTTAATTAGAGGGTTAATTGATTTTTGAATGAATTAACACCCCCTGCAGGAAAAAGTACGTCTTTTTGTTTATTTCAGCTTTGTTTCACTTTCGGCAAAAAGTTTGTGTTGTTTTGCAATTTATGATTATCTGTATTAAAGAAAAGCTTTTCCTTATCCCATTTTCTTCGTTAATGGAGAGGTTTTCTCTGTTTAGTCTGCACGTTTATAACAATCCTTAAATTGAGATACAAACTTAAGGATGATGGACTGTTTCTTGACTTTTCTATGTTGTCCACATTAATGTGCTAGTTTTTAATAATTAAAGTATACCTCTTCAGTGCAGAAGATGGGAACTGAAGAAGACTTACCCTAACTGGACCAATTATATATTTTAAGTGAATCAGTACAGTTTAAAGCCATTTGTGGCTGTGGGGCAATAAAAGTGTTTCAACTCAGCATTTTACATCAGAGACCCAGACTGAGCCCAGCACCTATAATCAAATTTTAGGACTCCTTGAAGTAAAAAAATAATCTTGTTATGCTCCATAACTTACTTATTTGATATTCATTTTCTTTATTGGTATTTATATGCTTCTTTGCTTTTACTGATAAACACATAACATGAGGTATTAACATTTCAATTTAATTTGTGGTTTTAGTTTTCCTTACAAACAGATATGACCAGAAGACAATTAGAATATGAAGCAAGGCAAATCAGAGTTGCAATGGAAGAACAACTAGGTACTTGCCAGGATATGGAAAAAAGAGCGCAGGTAAATTATTTATTATTAAACTATAAAACAGCACAGGCTAGAGAAGAGCTATTAAGAATGTAATGAATTATAGCTCTGTTAAACATTGATTAAATTTTATTATTAAAGATATTTATAAGTCTACCTTCACTTTGGCACTATTTCAAAATAATAATTTATCATGGCTGCTGGGCAACATAACTAATGTTCACATAATTCTGCCTCCACCATATTTCATTTCCCTGATACTATTCTGCTCTGCACTGGAATTATAAGAGGGAAAAAGGGTTAAATGCTGGTCATCTGGTAGCTGATAGCTAACTTCACTTCTCCTTTAAGATTTTTACTTCTTGTAATCTAAGTATGTGTAATGACATTCAGAATATTTCACTGCTTTTTAAGTTGTATGCAAAAAAGGGAAGTCCTCATTTAAGGAAAGTAGAAAGGGAACATAGAGAATAGTGGGAAAGGTGAAATGAGTTGGATGGAGAACATTCCCGTATTTCTGCCCTCAGCTGATGTCAAGAAAGACTATTAAATAGCTTTGCTATTTGCTGAGCATTTTCATACATTATTGAATTTAGCACTTTGTATTTACATAAGTATATTACTGGCTGATGTTTTTAAGCCCTGAGGAGGCTTTGCTGTTTGCCTTGTCTATTTCAAAGCAAGTATGGGCATTTAAAAAAAAAAAAAAAAAAGGAAAAGTCTTAGGACAAACTGGTAAGAAAACATTATTTGAAAGATTTTATTTAAGGGAATAGTAAATGGAGTACATACATTCATATGTATGGTATAAATACATTTTTGTGTTCTAAAAAGTTTATTTGTAGTTTTAAAATCACTAATACAAGACATTTTCCATCCTCAAAGTATAGTCTTTACCTTTTATATGGTAGCTACCTAAACATAATGTATATTCATTTTATGCTACAGTATGGTGGTAGACTAAGGAGAAACTTAAACACTAGTACCACGGTACCTTTTACAGTCCATACCTGTTAGTTTCACAATGGAGCTAGAGGCTCAACTACCATGCTAGTTAGTTATGCTATAATTTGTATATATATAATATAGTTTTTGTTAATTTCCTCTCACCCCCATTCCAATCAAATTAACGTCTTAAATGCCAAAAGTAAAACTTTAAAAATAAACCTTTTGGGGACATTGGGTGGCTCAGTTGGTTAAACGTCTGACTCTTAGATTCGGCTCAGGCCATGATCTCAGGGTCTTGGAATCCAGCCATGTCAGTCTGTACTCAGCAGGGAGTCTGCTTGAGATTCTCTGTCTCCCCATGTCCCTCTGCCTCTCCCCTACTCTCTCTCCCTCTAAAATAAATAAATAAATATTTTAAAAAGTAAATAAAAATAAGCCTTTCAATAGAAAATATACATGAATATCTTTCTAATATTGGGGGAAAAAAGGATTTCTTAAACTAGACAAAACACTATTTTTAAAAGAGAAGACATAAATTTCACTACATTAGAATTCAGGATTTATCTTTATCACGTACCTTAAAAATATATGAATTTGGGGAAGAATGGTAAATCAGTAAATATATAAGTACAACTAGCAGCCTGTTTGGGAGAAATTAAATTAGATCCCTAACCCACATCTTGTATAAGAAAAATTACAAATGGATTAAATATCTAAATGTGAAAAATAAGCCTGAAATTAATGAAAGAAAATATAGGACAACAAATGTAAATTGTCATAAAATTTTAAAACATTCTGCAGCAGATAAAGTAAGGGAAAATATTTTTAACACGTAAAAGGAGAAAGGTCATTATCCCTATAATGTAAGAATTCCTACAACTAATAAGGAAAAGGCAACTCTTTAATGGGTAGAGGCTGTAATCAACTTACTGAAAAAAATGCAGATGATTAGTAAACACATACAAATGACTGGTAAACAATTTAGGGAAGTTCAAAATAAAATCCACTCTTGCCCATGCCTATGTGAGATTGTCCGTCTTCAGCTATCCCTGTTAACAGTTTGGTTATTTATTTTTTATTTGTTCAGCACATATTTGGGCATCTAGTATGGTAGCCCCTACTTTCCTGTATACATGCTGGGAAAATGTACACCAAGTTATTAATGGAGATTATTTTGGGGGACTGGGGATTGGTAGGGTGAAAGTTCCTTACACTTCCATTTTACCATAATTTTTTATAATTATACGGATAACAGAGTTTATATGTTTCCTGGTTGATGGACATTTAGGTTGTTTGTAATTTTTCACTGTTAAAACAACTCTGATAAACATACTTACTCGTATCTTGTAAACGTGTGTAAGAATCTCTCTCAGTTAAGAGTCAGCAATCTTTTTCTTAAAGAGTCATAAAAAAATAAATATATTATTCTTTGTGGGCCATATGGTCTCAGTCACAGCTACTCAACTCTGCTTTTGTAGCAAGAAAGCAACCATAGATGATCATCTGTAAGCAAATGGGCATGGTTGTTTCAGTAAAACTTAATTAACAAAACAGATGGCTAATAGGCCCTAATTTGCCAACTTCAGCTCTAGGGTATATACCTAAAAGCATCATTGCTGGCCATAAGGTATGAGTGTTTTGAACTTGTTTGCCAAATTACACTCAAAATGATTTTATCAATTTACACTTCTACTAGTAGTATGTGAGAATCCTGTTTCTTCTGTATGTCTCCAGCCCTTGTGAGTCAGACTTCATAATTAACAGTCAGTGGGCAATGAAACATTAGCTTGTCGTTTTATTTATATTTTCTTGAATACTGCTGAGATTGAATATCTTCTCATGTATTTATTAGACTTTTGGACATTCTGTTATTTGTTCATCTTTTTCCCATTTTCTATTATGTTAAATGTCTTACTCTTAAATATTTGAGAGATATATTAATATCCTCTTGATACCACTGTGTTATAGATAATACACATCACAACCCCTCCCTGCAAAATCCATTATCTATTTTAGCTTTGTGATAACAAAAATTAGTTTTTGTTGTAGAGCTAAATTAAGTATATTGCCATAGTTTCGCTTTCTATGAATTATTTATACATCTTTTCCTGTCCTGGAATCGTAAAGTTATCCTCTTATTATTTATAATAGTTGCAATGTTTTATTTTTACAATTAGGTCTTTAGTTCATCTCCAGCATGCAATTATGTATGTTTTGGAGGTAGGGATCTAATTTTACTTAGATAAACACAAGTGTATATGATTTTTATATGTATATATAATTATTTAATATATAACTTGAATTTTAAGTAGTATATTGGTTTTTATTAATATATGATCAATTATCTATATAACATATACACAGATATGTGCATATTTATGTTTTTAACTAAATTACCCATTATCTTTATGTGATACGCCACTATTTCCCCATTAATTAGTAATGCCATCTCTGGCATATGGTAAGTTTATATCTGCTGGGTATTTCTAGACTCTATTCCACTAATTTTTTTTAGTTTCTCTGTGCCTGCACTGATATCACATTTGTTTTATTTGCAGTAGTTTTATAAATCTTGGTACCTGGTAGAGTGAGTTCTCCTATTTTTGTTTGTAAAATTGTGGTTATATTCTGTCTTATTTCTCTTCTGTCTGAAATTTAGTTTCAGCTTCTCTAATTCAAAGAAAAGCCTGATACATTTTTTTATTAGAATCACATTGAATTTATAAATTAATTTGAAGAGAATTCCTATCTTTACAATATAAAGATTGGTTCTTGGTTGAAAGGATAGACTCTGGAGCCAGACCTCTTAGGTTCTAATTCTACACCTGCTACTTTATCAGCACTGATTTTGGGTAAATTTTCTGCCTCAGTTTTCTTACTGGTAAAATATAATGCTAAACTGAAATGTGAGGATTAAATGAGTTAATACATGTAAAAGCACTTAGAATCTGACACATAGTAAATACTCAATATATATATTAGGTGTTGTTATTAATTGTATATCTCCATTCATTTAGGTGCAATTTTATGGCCCGCAATAAAGTTTTGTAATATCCTCTATAAAGATTTTATACATCTTTTTTTTATTATTCCTAGATACCATATAGTTTTTGTTACTGTTGTGAATGGGATTTACTATAATTACTAAATTACATTTAAATAATAAATATCCAGTGACCTTCCTGAGCTCTTCTATTAAATCATCTCAGTAGTTTAAGATTTTCTTGCATTTTTCTTGCATTTTCCATATAAACTGTCAAATATGGCAGTTGCATTTTTTTTTTTTGCATTATTTGAAAAAGGTAATTTTCTTTGCCCTTTTCAGTTGTTTGGGTTTTTTTTTTTTTCTCCTTATATTGCATAAAAATTCTAATACATCTTTGAATAAGAAGCAGTGATACTGGTCTTCTCTGTCTTACTATGACTTTAAAGGGACTCCTAAAGTTTCACTGTTAAGTGTGTTGTTTACTCAGTTTTTAATAGACACCCTTCCTCAAGTTAAGGAATTTGCCTTCTATTCCCAGTTTGTTGAGAGTTATCCTGAATCTGTATTGAACTGTATTATTATTAAAAATTTTTTAAATCAGTTTTTCAAAAGTCATACCAACTATATTACCCTGAACTGTTAAGCACTTGTTATTAAGCATAGTTTCACCAATATTCAAGGTTATTATATAAAAAAAGGAAAGAAATACTACTAGATTTTTCCATTTTCATTTTGAGAAACAGAAGCACAGGAGTTGTGTTATTAGAAATCCTCTACCACAGTGGGTATCAAGATATAGAACGACTTCAAGATTTAGTGACATATTGGCAATACAGAAACCAAGAGGAATATTAAATACAATTTCCTACTTTTATCTTTTAAATATTAAATCTTTTAATTTAAGATTTTATTGGTGGACATACCCCCCCGCCCCCGCCCCACATGCTCCTGGGCTGTGCTTCTAAGGAGCCCATCAGGCAGCTTTAGTCCCAGCACTGCAGAGCCCCTCCCACAGAAGACTGGGGGCACAAAAAGCTTGCTGGCACTGCCCCCCAGCTCTGTGCTATGGGACACCTGCCCTCTCCAATACTCTCTTAGCCAGAGCCCATACAAGGCAGTGCCAAAGGCCTGGTAGTGTGCAAGCAGCTCCTACAGTGGCCAGCACTACTCCAAAGTGACTCCTACCCCAGAGAAAGGGAAAGATAATCACACATACCAGTCTGGGGAGGCCCCAGCAGTGGGCTAGAAGCAGACAAGTGGTTTGACTGGAGGTCCCACCCACCAACAAAAGCTTTTTCGGACAACATAGGGGAAGGACACAGCAGTTTGGTGCTACTGCATCTCTAGCAAACACCTGGTCTGACTCAGCTCAAGTCTGAGGCATCCCCAGACTGGCCCACTGCCACTACAGGAACTAGACACTGCCCACAACAAGCAGAAGAGAGCCATTGCAGATGACTGGACTGAAGGAAAAAGCAGCTCAGCCACAACAGCAGGGCACACACATCTCACATAGGAGATACCCCTAAAGCACCAGGTT